TGCTCTATATGCATGTGCTTTACCCTACATGCAATTTATGCTTAGCATAAGGCATTTAAATTATCTGGAAAAGCAGGATATACATTAAGTCCTATTTTTCCCAATAATAACTTCTACCCACGATAACATTTTTAAAAATTCATCTTTCAGCAGCAACAGAGTAGATTTAATACACACACACTCATTCACTTTGAATATTCAACCTATACCATTTCTGATAAGAGATGGGTCTTTGGAGAGTTGTTTGGAATCAGTTAAATACCATCAACATATTTTTTTAAAAGTTTTTGAAATTCAATCTTCATCAGAAATAACACAAATCAGATTTTTTGTTATTTACTTTTGCATATTTCTATTTAACAAGGAGAAAAGCAATTTAGATAATCTATTACGTGATACCTTTTTGTTCAGTAATTTCATAGAGATCCTTATATCCCTAATATTTTAAATTCTTTATACTAAACACTGCCTTATAATAAGTTTTAAAGTCACTTAAGACTGGCAGTGTTGAGTAGATGGCATTATTTTCCTGTTTCTCCATGTTCTGATTCATTTGGGAATCCCCTCTGTGGATGGGTCTGCTGTTGAGGGTGAGTTTCCATCTCATGGAGATTGGTTCCTGTCCTTGCATTTTGCACTTGACCTTGTTCCTGATGCAGTGGCACAGTGGGTCTGAGACATCGTCCCGTAACTCACACACCCAGAAGGACCTATAAATGTCTTGTCTTCCATCCTCTAATGTCAATGATGCCACCCCTAGGGCAGTGGGTGTGGGTCTGCAGCTGCCAAGGCCATCTGTCTCTACAAAGTGAGTGCCACAGACGGGAAAGCTTCCACAGCTTGCTAGCCCGTCCTTGGGCACCCAAGACAAGCTCCTTGCAGACCGGCTCGCTTCCTGCTCCAGGTACCTCACACTTTATCAGTGTGTCACTTTTAACTAAAATGCCACTTCACAAATCCAGCTGTGAAGGAAAACCAAGAGAGTGGCTTTGCTTATTAAAGTAGGAAATACCCAGCTTACAATGGGTGGATTTTCATGAGTCATTCAGCCACCCTGGGGCCCCCAAAATAGTTAGAGATTGTTTTTCTAGAACGGTCAATGTTACTTTTGATTCCTGGCCATGGGACAACCCTGGAGGCCCAAACAGACATCCTCTCTGCCATCCTCAGTACACTACTGGCTGAGCTGTGGTGGATTACAAATGGCTTCCTGAAACATAAACCTAGATTTCCTGCATGGAGTTGGATAACATTAACTAAGGAACTTGCCAACTTTTCATTTAATGAATCCTCCTTGATAATAATCTATTGTTTCCATTCCTTATAGTTCCATACCTTATAACTTAATGCAATTCCACTGCATTAAAATATAAGCAAGCATAATATAAAACCAAAGTGACCAGAAAAGCTCCCCTTTACCTCTTGTTCTACTGGGATGATGCCGGGGAGCCATCCTGGCCTTGGAGAATCCATGTTTCCCTGTTGGCTGAAAAAGGATTTCTAGAAGAATTCCAGCTCTGAACTGTGTCTGCTGCAAGCTCAGTGAGGAGAAATGAGTTTATATGGGAAAGCTGTGTTCCTGTTTCCTCTAAGTGGAAACGGTGACTAATTAGTATGCTCTATGACAAAGGATTACCTACTAGATTCTTCTCAGGCACTTCTTGGAAGATCTCTGAATTTTTGGTGGGGGGTGGGGGATGGAAACTATTGAGGGATTAATCTACGGGCACCTTAATCCCACCTGTCACCAGCTTCTGGTTGCAGATGGTGGGAGAGAAACCTCTCATTATTGGGAGAAGCACTGTTGTTGGAGAGGATGCCTACAGATTCAATGGGCACTAACAGAATGCCAAGGTACAAGCAAAAGAAGGAGTCAAGGAACACATTCCCTAGAACATTTTCATCAGTTTTCCCATCCTTCTGCAGTCCAAGGGCAAGCACAAGAAATAGTTTCTGTCCTGCCAGCTGAAACCAGTCACTCCAGCTGCTACAGCCAGAAAGCAAGCTCAGGGCATTTATCTACCTGTTAGAATACAGACTGGTCCCAGGAACTTTATTACCAAAAAATTACAGATTTTTTTTTTTTTTGCCATGGTGCCCATTCATACTAACACTAAGAAAGAAAAATGACTTGGTAGGGAAAACTCATATGTGCTAAAAGTGATAAAAGAACAGCAAGCTAGTGAATGACAACCCTAAGTACTTTTTAAAATTAAAATACTCTGTTAATATGAGCACTTTCATTTAGTTGTCTTTTATTCCTTTGGTATTTCCATGAACCAAAGTGAAATAGTCAAGTTACAGTATCATTTAATTTTATTTAATAGTAGATATCCTGAGGTATAAAAATATAAGACCTTAAAGAGTCTGGAGAAAATATTTAAGCCTTAATTATGTGTCGTCCATAAATTCTTAATTCTTAAATTCCATTGCATTAAATACTAAGCCACTAAAATCCACAGAGTTGCAAGCACTCTCCAGTTGAAAGAACTTTGGTTGCCTTTGGTCACTGACATGGACTATAGTAATACTTCCACAAGTTTATTGTTAAATCCAAAAAAGAATGTGAAAACCTAGGAAAGGGTGGCTCTGCTTAAGGACTCTTTGAAATACAACTCAACAGGGGGAGAAATGACTCCTTTTTTTGAAAGTCAAATATTAACATGGATGGATTTTAAAAAATAAAAAACCAGGGATTATTACTAGTAAAGGGATTATTGCTGCTATAGTATTAACATATATATTGCAACCCAGTTAAATGCTTTCTATGAAAATTGGAAACAGTTGCTTTCATTCTGTAATGATGTTAATAGTAAGAATAGCAGTCATGACATTAGCTGGGATTAATATATTAAATGCTTACCTTGGGGCATCTCACTTAAATGTCACAATTATCCTAAGAAGAGATGGGGAGAGGATAAAGGGGGCTCATTTGGGTTAATGTGTTCATTCAGTTAGGGTCTACTGTACTCTTCTGCAGCCAGCTCAGATGGTTTGTGACTGTCTCCAACCTCAGGGAGCTTAACTGCCCTGCCTATGGTGGACATGTATTTATTTCTAACTGACTCAAAAGCAAGTTTCTAATCCCACAAGTTAGAAGTAAATTTACTTCTATCAATTGAAACCCTGAAGCTCTGGACCAAGTTCCAAATGTTCAACAACCAAAATGGAACAGGCTAATCTATGCTGGTAGCCAGAAGGCAGATTACAAATGAAGACAGTGGATAAGAGAACATGGACAGGAGTTCTGTGCTTAAACATCAAAAAGATTTCTGAAATGACAAGCACTTTTAAGCCAGGAACTCAGTAGTTTCCTAAAGAAGAACTGAATTGGAGGTGAGGGACGGGATCTGAAGAAGGGGAGGTGCTGTGGGCCTACTTTGGCTACTATATATCCATGGTGCAAATAAGGAGGTACAAGCGGTCAGCTCCTGCACAAAGGCTCATCACTTCTGGACAGGTACTGACTTCTGAATCTCTTGCTGGGTTTCAGACCGTGCTGGGGAGGCTGGAAAAGCCCAGCAAACACCTGTCACAGGACCATTCAGCTGGAGAACTGCTGACTCACTGACTGGCAGAAGGTTAACTGGCCAAGAGGCCAGGAAATCTTAGGATGGGCAGAAGGCAAGATGACTGTGGAGGTGCCAGCACTGAACCGAGAGTCAAGGGGTGCAGGGGGCACATGCTTGTAGCAAACCAGAGTCCACCTCCCATATTTTGGAAGGAAATTAATCTGTGGGGTCTGACTCTCATTTTATTCCAACATAGTAGGCACATTCATAAAGCACTTGGACCTACTTCTTTAGAATGGCATCGTATTTAATTAGTATTTGAGCCAATATAAACATGTCAACTTTTCTGCTTAAGATTCAGAGTCAATAAAGAATTGCAGACTTCTTGCAATTAATTCTTTACCCTAAGAAAAACATTCCTGTAATAATCCTCTTTAACCTCACCACTGACATTTACCCAAGTAACCTTTCAGAATATGTGACTTCCAGCAGAGAATATGGCTAGCAAAATCAGTTTGGTAGGTAGCAAGTGTAGTCTTCCTTCTTCTTTAGCTTGACAAATTGTTGATTACACTTCACATTCTTTATGGAGAAATAGCCATGCAACCAAAAGGCCTTCTGTCACACCAAGAACAACCATAATGATTCATCCCTAGATGGAATAGTTCCACTAAAGATCCCTACCTAAAAGAAAGGGCCAACCAGGGCAAAAGAACTGATCCAGTGACCCTAAAATAATTCTGGACACAGATAAAGTGTTTCAAACAAGGTTATACAATTAAGGAATAAAGCTTAGTTGCCAGTATCATGGTGCTAAGGGCGGAGCACATGCAGAGTATTTCATGTACCACCTGCAGATATGCTATAGCCACTTCAGAAACTCTCAGATTTCCTTCCCTTGATTTCTCTAGGAAACTTAAAGCATTAATTTGATTAAGTAAATCACACAGTGTTTAAAGTTTTCTTTTTCTAAGGATATCAAAATCATGGAATTTTGTTGTTGCCTGGACTCTGAAAGGCACTAAATATGTGATACCAACTGGTTTTTACCAAGAGTGAAATCTAGGAAATCTCCTTTTGAATAATTTTTCCCTTAGCCAATCAATTTAAGAAGCAATTATCATCAGTGCAATTATGTTCCACCATGTGCCCTAACATGGCACCATGTGCACCAAATGTGTGCTACTGAGATAAAGCAAGATCCTTTAAAAGTAGCGACAAATCAGAGAAAGGAAAACATGTGGAAATTGTGTTCTCAATAATACATTTCAGGATACTGAGCAACTGAGCCAAATTTTTGAAAAAAATGTAACAAAAAGGTGACATGAGCCTGTTCAAGTAAGTTGAAGTATAAAATCCAAATGTCACTACTGACCGTATGGCCTTTTTTCTTGAGAAGATAAGCCTTCTGTAACAATGACATCCACATGCATTTTTTAAGCCAGTTAACTACACTTCAGAATAATTTTCAAAAAATTTTGTACTCACCAAGGAAAAACGACGGCTATAGTCTGAAAAAGAAAGAAGAGAAAAAAAGTCAGTTTTTTGGTTGGCTGGGGTTTTCTTTGGTTATTTGGTAGCTGGCTGAAGCTACTTTTTTTTTCATCAACAGCACTAGTTGCATATCTCATTTTTTGCTTCATTGTTCAGAATCTTCTTGGGAATTTTTTATCTTGATGATAATCATCAGCTTTCAACAGTGGCCTACCCAAACCTTGCTGTGATCTTTCACTGTCAGTTGGTGTTGGCGTGTGGTTACTGGCCTAGACCTGAAGTGCTTCAGTGTCCATCCTCCAAGACTCTCCAGCAGTCTGCTGCTCCTAATGTAGCCTTTACAGTTTTCGTTTCCCTGAAATAGTCCCCTCAGCTCATCTTCCTTGGAGATGGCCTTCTGAAATTTGGCTGAGGATATCCCCTACCCCCAATTTCCTCAGTGTCATCACTATCCAGCCTGGTCATTAATTTAGCTCTCATGTTCTTTTACTTAAAAAGCCTCATTAAGATATAATTTACATACCATGAAATCCACCTGCCTAAAGTGTGGAATTCAATGATTTTTAGTATATTCACAAACATCACACTCATCACTATAATATAATAATAGAACTTTTTATCATCCAAAAAGAAATCCTATACCTATGAGTTAATTAGCACCTGAGTCCTATCCTCCCATTACTCCCCAGAAACCACTAATCTATTTTCTGTCTCTGTGGATTTCCTTATTCTGGACATTTGATATAAATGAGTCATACAATACGTGGCTTTTTACAACTGGTTTCTTTCACTGAGCATAATGTTGAGGTGCATCCACATTGTCAAATGTACTAGTATTTTATGGACGAATAATATTTCATTACCTACACATTTTGTTTATCCATTCCTCAGGTGGTGGACATAGTTCTCATGATCTTGTGTAAGTGGCCATCATGGCAGTCTCATATTAGGGCCATTAGGCTGACATCTAACTGTGGGCAGAGACTATGCTCAGTTGTGATTGTACATTTATACTGTTAAAAGGCTTGAATCATTTTCAGATTGTCACTATTTTAAAATAAGCAATGCAGTACATGATGTTTTCCACCAAAAGAGACCACATGTTCTCTCAGTCCTGGCAAGGCTGGCTATTTTAAACCAAATACAATAAAGATTTGCAGTACAAAATTATAACAAGTTGTTATAAATCATTATATTGTTATAAATTAAAATAGTTGACTCAGGAAGTAGGTTCAAAGCCAAAGAAGTAGGAGAAATAGCTCTGGTTACTAAGGGATTTTAAAAATCTACTTGGATAAATCAATATCTAACATTGTTCATGATGGCAGACACTGAATGCTACTTCCCCAATACTGGGGAAAAAGCACAGATGTTTTCTCTCACAACTCATATTTAACATTGTACTGGAAATCTTAGCCAATGCAATATGGCAAGAAAAAGAAATATATAGGACTTATAAAGGAAAAAGAATAAAATTTTTATTTTCAAATGACATCGTAGTCTATATAGACAATCGAAAGAAACCGCAAAAAGTTACTAGAGCTAATATGTGAGTTTAGATCACAGGATGCAAATTTAATATATAAAAATCAGTGGTATTTATATATACTGACAATGAATCATTGTAAAGTCAATTTAAAAGATACTCCATATAATGCCACAGCATCTACTAGGGAAGCTACAACAGTGAGATAACCTGCTGAGTAACATATAAAGTCAGAAGTTTCGCAGAGTGCTGTGAAGTCCCATGCAACATAAAGCACCAGAGCAGAGCAGAGAAGTACTGTTAGGCAGGCAGTGGTAACTGATGATCAGAGGGGATAGGCAAACTGACTTTTTGTAGAATAATTTGTTACAAGAGTCTACCCCATCACTCCTTCAAAAGCCAGGGAAGATGCTAAGAAGAGTGACTTGTGATGTTTGTGTGGAGTCAAGAAAAGGGAGAAACCAGTAGTAGATGTTGCTGCCATTATCTCAGGAGGACCAACAGAAATGCTCAAAACTAAATTCCAATACAGTACAGATTCATTTTCATGTAAAATAAAACCAAAAGCTTGCAGAAGCTTCTGGGACAGGGCTATAGGTGGAGGTGGCAGGCTTGAGTCAAACCAGACTAAAAGTATAGGGAAACAGCCAGTCTGGTGTGTAAGTAACTTTGTCAACAGTTGGATAAATAAGCGAATAAGCAACTGACAAAATCCCAATCTAACACAAGTACTAGTAATTTTGAAACAATGTTTTTTAAACATAGCAAGAATCACTAAACAATGGCTATTACAAATAGCTTAAGTGTTTTACTCTTTTATAGTTCATATTTGATGGTATGAAATTGTGACTATCAAATTTCTCTAAGTATAGAATTACAGCCAAAGCCAAATAACCAAATGCCCTCTAAAGTAAATCTTTACTAATTGAATATTTCCTTTAGCCCGTGGCCCTGATATAGTCATTGTAATATTAAACAAAGTATTTCAAAACTGTGAAAGAAGCACATGAAAAAAAAATAGGGTTGGGGAGAGTGGTTCGTGTGGGCAGATTCGAGAAGCTGGGTCAGTGAGAAGTTTGCACAACATCCTTCCACAAACTGGATGCTTCCTGCTCTTATCTTGAAGGGCAACATCCTCCAAATGGGGAAGTAGAGATGATGTTAGGCTCATTGTGCCTGTCAAGTTCCTGGAGGGCTGCTTGTGATGTCTCACCCACATCTCACAACTATTTTGGGAGGCAAGAAGAACTACTTTAAGGATGGAGACTCTGAGCCCTTCCTCAGGGTCATAGAGCCAGGCAGCAGAGCAGCAGGGATGCTCACCCAGCACATTTCTGGCTGGATCTCTGGGAAAAGCATCCTGCAGTGTAATTCACTTTTATTTTGTTTTGCTTTGCTTTGGCTATATCTTTGTCCCTTGGTAAAGCAGTTAATTCCTTCACAGCAGGCTCTGGCCTCCTCTTTAATTCCTAGTGTTTGGAACACTTCATACAGCACCAAGAACCTCAGAAAGGCATTCATTAAGGACAACAATGGCACTGGATCATTCATTCCTTTAAATCTCTTCCAGTTCTAGGGAGAGCACCACTGTGTTCTATGCTCTTCCAATATCTGGAAAGACCTAGGATGGCCATATCTTTCCAATAGGGTCGAGAAGGTGTTTGGGAATGGGATGGATCACACAGGCATGGACCAGCCTGGCCACAGAATTAGAGCACAAAGCCATACCATTCTGCTTCCAGGGAACAGAGCAGGGAGGAAGCCCAGCCCACCCTGGATGACAACATTAGAACAGGAGAAATCCACCCTCAGGAAGGTGGGGAGGGCAGGCAAGTTCAGCCTAAAGGGTCAGCGCTCCTAAAGGAAGTGTCCAGTGGCTGGGCTTTGTCCTGATTGTTCTCAAGATAAAGAAAGACCAACCCAGTGAAGTTACTGTGCATCCAAACCTTGGAAAGAAGAAAATAAAACTACAGTGTTCAGAATCAGTCCATTGGCACTGTTCAATTTAAGAGAAAAGCTAAAGATGTTTATTTCTCAGATAGACAAACATGGCCAACGTTTCCCAATTCAGACAAAAATAAAATGTCTTTTATACACACCCATGACCTAATATATTGCCAGTATTTGAGTGAGCAGTGACTATGCTGCTTATCAGCAAGCTTCTCTTTTGAATGGACAGCAACGTTTAAACATTTTTGGATGCACATTTGCATTTTATTTTAAAATGTTTATACGCACATTTCAACATATATAACATAACTAAAATGTGAAACTTTTATGATGGATTAAGATTCTAAAAGCAAGGACATATAAAACTCTACTTCATATAATTAAATACTGGGGATGTTGATCTCAAAAAATCGTACTGTGAATGATCAGACCCCTGGGTCAAGTTCTGTGATCCTGGCTGCATTCTTTTGGGCTCTTTTTTTTCCCCAAAGAAACTGGGCTGTCCTGATGAATGAGTCAGAGCGCTGGGATAGCAAGTCATTTCCTCCCAATCAGGGTAACCCTCAGGCACAACAACCATGACCATAAATTTACAGGAGCTGGCCCAGCTGATCAGGGCAATTACTTCAAATAAGAAAATGACAGAGACCCAGTTACATGATCACATGCAGTGGGAATAAATGGCCGCAGCAATGGCCCTCTGGCTGTCTCTGTAGACTGTCAGATCACTTCACGTCCAGAAGGATTTTCAAATGATGAGGGAAAGTGCATAATGTTTCTGAATCATCTAGGCTTCAGATTCTCACTGATATCATACTCTGCCAAGTCTCACAGTTTCCTTGTTTACCTTCCAGGCATCAGCAAAGCTGTTAATTTCTGTATTTTCTAATGCATGAAAATCTGGAAGGAGCTACTGATGTTGGGAGAGGGAAGCCTCCCCAAAATAAAAATTTGGTAAAATCTAATTAGGCCTACCCCACTGTCTCAAGCCACCCTGAAAAGGAGATGAAATCTATAAAATGATGTCAGTAATGCTGGGGAAAAATACCCATTTTCTCTACCATCCGTCTTGTCAACCCAAGACAGGCAAGCAAGACTCCTAAATATTTGGCAACTTTTAGCAATTATTCATGGGCAGCTGCTCAGCAAAGATGCATGTGCACCCTGCCTGCTCCTTAGCAGAACCCTCCCCGTCCCCATGCACACACACAGGCTCTTCTCTAATTACTCCACGGCGGGGGTACCCTCTTTGGATAAGAAAACTATGCAAATTAGCAAGCTAGAGAAATCCTTTTTTTGCAAGTACAAATGTCTGTTGGTTTCTATACTGCCATGTTTTTCATCTGACTACAGCATTACCACCAATGTAAAATTCAGGAGCATAGCAATTTGAATCTGTTCCCTTCCAAGGCATAGGGTATTCTCCTAGGCCCAGAGGAGAGGGCACACACACCTCAGATAGTGAGAGTCACTGTCATGTTTTTTAAAAAGTCTCTCCCCATGAGCAGCTTCTTTGTGGGCCCTCAGTGTTTGGAAGAGGGACATCACGTGAACAGCAACATTAAGAAAAGGGAAAATCAC